CATGGTCAGCCAGCCGCGCATCCACCCATCTACAGGGCAACTCATGGGGTGCTCGCGACGCTGCTGAGATAGACAAACACAGAATGCCAGGCAGCGGGGGGCCCGGGGACATGTTTCAGACAGCAGCACGGACCTGGGAGGGGCTGGCGCTCCTGAACAGCCTCCAGTGCCTAGCACTGGTGGGAACTCCTACTCAAACTGCAACCCCTGTTCCTCCCAGGGAAAGGGTGCTGGGCTGGACTAGAATGTTAGCTCGGGCCCTGGAAGTCAAAGGGCAGCTCCTCCGTTGTGACTGTGGCACCTGACGCCGGGGAGGAGGGGGAGCCATCTTCAACCCACTCACGAGTAAATAGGGGAAAAAAAGTGCTTTCTTACACGAAGCGTGGGAGCATGAAGGTAGGTGGGGCACAGGCTGCTTCACCGCTCTGCTCCGGCCCTGCCCTGAGCCAGGTGCCAGCCCGGGGGCGGGGGGCAGCAGGGACGGCGCTCCCAGAGGGAGAGCCGCACAGCTGACCATGCTGGCCTCTCTCACAGCCGGGCACCGCGGGCAGGGCGGGCCCAGGGGGCACAGTATGGCACACACATATCCAAGCCAGAACTGAACAGAGATGCTCACAATTCAGTTTATTCAGGCAACAATTTGGCTACTTTCAGTGTGGATAGCTACACTTACGAGCAAACATGGATTGAGAATTTAGAGGTAGCTTTTATATGCATTTGTTTCTTTTTAACTAAAAGGTATTTAGAAACCACCTTCTGTAGTTATTTGGCTTAGCCAATACATTCACTTGAGACAATAAAATGGCAGAACACAGTAAAAGAAGCAAAGCAAGGGCACCACAATGGCACTGCAATCACACACACACACACACACACGCACACTCACACATTCACACGCACGCATGCACACACACACACACACATAGGAGGTTTGGGGTTAAAAGCTCCTTTCTGTATCTGACACTGGGCATCTCAACCAGACAGAGTTCCTGTGTGGACGGGAGCATGTACCCTGAAACCAGCCACAGGCCGGGGGCCCCAGCGGGCACCTGGCCTCTCTGAAGGCACGCCACCAATGACAGCTGAACAGCAAAGTGACGTCATGGCCCGCGTGGGCCATTAGCAGGGCCCTGCACCCGCCGGCCATCTCAGCCAAGGGGCTGGACAGAACCAGAACCAGGTGCCTGGGAACATGACAACTACGAGAAACGAACCCACGAAAAGCATCCAGAAATTCACAAT